AAACAAAAATATATATATATATATATATTGATAATTAATTCATTATTTTAAAAACATTTTGTATTCATTTGTAATTACATTCAATAAAAAAGTTTGGTTTACCTAAGATATAATTTGCTCTAAAAATGTACAAATTCCTCATGACCACAGTCTTCAATAGCCCATCAAAGCAAAAGAAAACAATACAATTTAAAATAATGCAGAGGAAATTAATGGTAATATAAATACTCAGAATTTGCCCATAAAATAACACATCAGCAGAGAATAATTATTGCGTCAACAATCCTTTCATACCACATATATCTATACAAATGTTTAGAAACTATTGGAGCTTTACAACAGCACATACATCGGGGCATTCCAAAATGAATGCTACCACTTTAAATTACCATAATTATGTTAATTATTGCCCAGGAAGTATGCAACGTACACAGGTCAATAGAGTAATCGCTCAAGTTTCATCTCCCATTGGCATTCAAATGTGTTGTCAGCTACTACTCCTAGGAACCACTGTAAACAAAAATGGCAATTCTGCAACGTTTGCATTCTCAGTTTGCAAAGTTCGAATCACTCGTCATTGTACAACACAGATAATCTGCAGGAGCTGATTATCATATGAATAATATGATATTTTAATTATTAAATCTGTCCTTCTATGGAAGATGTTTTATTTATCACGAATATATCAAACAAATTAAAAATTATCATCTTGAAATTAGTCAAAACGTCACATTATTCGTGAGCATCTCAAGTGAAAACCCAGTGTTGACGTCTTCACACAAACAATAGTTTATTTTCTTTTTTATTGAATATTTTACAGACAGTTTAATCGTATCGACAGAACTAATATGTATAACTCCTATAATAATGTTTTGATTTCTTAATTTTGTGTCATTATTTTTATGTGAACATTGTAGAAAATGGGTTAACAGAATAGAAAAACAGGACAAAAAAGTAGATTGTAGCTGAAAAAGTAAAAGTCTAAATATGAAAATATTCATTCATAATTTAAATAAACAGTTTCAGCTTTCACAACAAGTGCGGATGATTTTGTAAATCTAAAGTGTCCCGTTTATTAAGTTATCATTCAACAAACACAGTTCATTTTATATAATTACTAATAAAAAGAATATTAAATAAATTTCCTTTAACTGTTCAAAAAACAGTTCCAATCATCATAATATTGAATATTTTTCATATTTAAATTGCATTAATTGCTTACAGAAAGTAAAAATTGTGCTTTAAAAAAGTGATAATACTTATTTAAATATATTCTTTTTTTTTTTTTTTTTACTATTTCAGACTAAATAATTACTTGTATTGATTTAAGCTTATAGAATATTTGCTTTTCCATAAGCAAGAGAGAAAAAAAAGCTTGCGTACAAAGCAAATTCATTTAACTAGTATCAAATTTATAATTATATAAATAATTTTGTGGATAAGCTTACCAAAATTATTCCCAGGTATCTTCTCAGAATCATTGAACAATAACTGAGGATACAACTACATGATAATAAAAAATGTTGTAAGTTTACACTTTGTGAGAAATCATAATTGGTTTATTACCTTGTAATGTTACAATTGAACTATTCTTTAAACTTTTCAATAATAATTTAATTCTTAGTATTTCTCTCTCGACAAAGTTTAAAGTTATTGCGTAATGACTTATCGGAATGTGCACCATAAGCATTAATTAATATACATTGTTTTCTATGTGACGACCGAAATGAATAAAATAGGCAACTTCATACAATTAACCTATTTTGAAAAGATTTATATATATTTATACTTTTCTGGCAATTGCAATTTGACATTTATATCATAAATGCTCATCGGTTCCTGCAGCCATATTGTTTCAATTTGATAATGCAAGTCACACCTTAGTTCTGTTCGGTTTCTTTATTTGTTCTTCTAGGAAAAACATGAAAAAAAACCAATGCACAAATTGATGCAGCAACTTTATTTATTCTACAAAATTAATTCTCGGTATTTACCATCCCTTTAGGCCAACTATCTTTAACAATTTAATAAATTACAACAGCAGATACTTTAATGTCACCAATTTCAAGACTACTTAATAACTGGAATTGAAGCAACTTGTCTATAGTTAGGTGGTTTGGCCGCCATCGCTAGATAAATTCAATACTTAAGATTAATTAATTTTTAAATTTAATTCACCCAAATTGCTTAGATTCTGATTATTAAGTAGCTTTAAATGTAGCACGATAAAATCTGGCAGATCGTCTGGCAATAGTCTGAGCTGCATATTAACTTCCAAATTTAAATTCGTTTACAAGCAAACCGTAATAAAACTTAACGCAAATATTTATTAAGAATTTCAGAATATAGTTCTATAAATTTAAATTTTTATTTTTGAAGGTAATAATAATATTTGTAAGCCTGTCAGACAGGTTTACAAATAACGTTGAAGTAACATGTTAATTTACAATGTTTACAATGTTGTGTACAAAAGTTTTCTAGTTACTTTTAGTAATAATTTAATGCAATTTTTCTAGATATAACTGCTAAATTCTGGAATTTTTAATATATATTTGCATTAAAATTTAATTATGGTGATAAATTTAAATTTAGTTAAGTCAGAAAGGGCACATGCAAGACATAAATTAAGATTGATGGCCAAAGGTGTGCGCCCAAACACTAGAAATGCATATCAAACAATAAACTTATCTCGAGTCATGCATTAGTTCATGGTCTTTCTAGAAGAGCAAATAAAGCAAAAAATTGACAGTGCAGTTGTCTACAATTGAAATTTTTCCTCAAATTTAACTTGAAATTTATATTTAATAGTAATATTTCAGAAAATAATATCAGCCAGCATATTTAAATGAAACTTACCTCCAATTAATTAGCAAATATCAGTAATCGTTTCAGCGGTTTTGTAGCATTAGTATTCATGGCTCGAATCGCCAAAACAATCGCTTCTGGTAAAACATGACTGCAGATATTGGATATTTTGGGTGCATTGCATGCTAAAGCAGCTTTACCAGTCAAGACACCCTTCAGTAGAAGTTAACTTTAGATAATTTGTAGAGTATGTATGCAATTTGCTACAAATGCAGCTCCTAACGAGGCAGTTGGGACCTTATTGGAACCGTAGACCATACCTTAAGAGTAAAAAGTCAAAGTAACCAACACGATAGGTCGATTTCAGGATATCTTACAAAGGATAGACCATCGGTTCCTTTGACTTTTTAACTCCTACGGGTACGAACTGAAGCTCCGATAAGCAGCGGTACCTTATAGCTTCGCGGACGCCCGGGAAATTTGAATCTGGGAACTCCGAACAGTGTTTAATTTACACACTTATCTTTGAGAAGATTTTAAGGGGGTTAAATATTGTTATAAAAGATTGACTTGGGGCCTTTTGTCCGTAGGATAACGCAACACTATTGATACCAAGCTGCATACAAGATATACACCTAACCAGCATAGTATCATTATTATTTTCCTGTTATATTTTCCACTCGTACGGCATTAAAATTTTACAGCACGTGTTTCATTATATTCCAAAGAAAAGTCATTTAAAACCAGAAAAACGTTTACTAAGACAAATTACCATACTTAGAAGCGTGTTCAAATATGATGTAAACGAAGCACGTGTAACCTTATTATCACGTGAATAGGGTCAAGAGTTTCCATGTTAATTTATCCTTAACATACATACTCATCAGTAAATATTGTAAATGTAACTAACCTTTCTTTCTCTTCGCTTCACGCTGGCCGGTTGAGTTGCCAGATCGTACAATACAATTTTCCTCTATCGTAAATGTTTAATTAAACGAGAGGATATTTTAAAATCTTTGTCGAATAAACACTTAGAAAAGATATAAATTTGTATTTTTTATTCTTCTTTATTTTAGAATTGGAATTGTAATAATGCATTTTATCTTCTGATGGTTTTCCGTAAATTTTTCATGGAAAAATTCATGGAAGAAACCGGGAAAATTGAGTTATTTTTCTATAATTTCGAATGATATTTTTATTTAAATTAGGCTAATGGCATAAGGCAAGGTGATAAGGCCCCTTAGCAGTCATCCGAGAGGGCTTTCTATTGGAATCGGGACCGTATTGAGGCGTTAGACACGTGAAGCTCCACGGGAAACTCCACGTGCCAAGACCACGCGGAGTTTCCCGAAGTTATTCTTCACGTGTTTTTGTGTTCTTGCAGTCTGAGTGGAATCCGAGTTTGGTGAGGCGCGAAACTGCGACCAATTATCAGTTTTCGGAGACGACCCAATGGCCGAGCGGTTAAGATGGTAGCCTACCGCTCTGGGACCGGGAATCGAATCCGGACGGGTCGAAAAATTCCCAGGAATGTCGGCCCCCGACCTTCACTACTCAGCTGCCTCATTGTGGGCCTGGCCGAATCCGTAATGGGCTTGCTAAACGAGACCCTCTTAGTGTCCACAGGGCGAACAGAGTAAAAAAAATCAGGGGTCGACAACTTTTCGGCGGTGTTGCTCAGAAGGTTAGGCTATCTAAATGTGTGTAAATACTGTCGAACCTCCACTAAACGGTGATTGAAACTCATACAAAAATAGCCTGTAAAGAACGGACGCTCCCAAATAGTGGCGATGTTTTTACCTCCAGTCCTCGCCCGTTGTTTACAGGTTTGACTGAATATAATTTGGATAATTCGACATTATATATACAGTTTATAGTTTAGCCCTAAAGTCAGTTAACCTATACATATTATTTTAAGAATGATTAAAACAGGTTTACGCAAGGTCTTATACCGCTAATAAAAATATGTTGCGGTTAATAGAGTTTTGGACCACCCTGCATATATAAAACATGTATTAATTAATAATTATCATTATTATTATTTTAAAAAGTCGTATAAATATCACAAGGAACTGGTATAATTTTACAGAAAAATACAGATTTTTTTTTTCCTAACTAAAAATAGTAAATCTAATCGTAATTACACTTTGCGTAACTGTAAATTACTTTTAATGCTTATATTTGTTATAGCCTGAAGGCTTATATAAATGAGATTTAGATGAAAAACAAGATTAAAATAATTACATTTAATGCGTAAACACGTCATTTAATGTGTTGAAAAATTATATATTCGTCGTGTATTGAATTTTTTAAACTTTAAACTCATTCCTACCGGTACTAAGAGCGCTTGTTTTTAGCAAGTGAGCCTACATTAGGGGTCAGCCAGGCTCACGATGGGGATGGCTGAGGGACGGGCCATCCGCAATTGATCTCGAATCCCCTCGAAGCAGTAGGCTGACATCATAACGAATTTCAACACGGGCAGATATCAAAGGCGGTTTTGACACCAGTTTACCGCTCTGGGGGGCCCGCCATCGATTTATAGTGATCGAAAAAACCTAGGAATTTTTGGGGATGGTCCGCCATAGACGTGTCGGGCTCCGTCCCTCATTGTGGGCCTGGAAGAACCCAGGGTATGTTTGAAAGGCCCTCTCAGTGTCCACGTGGCTGAAAAAGTTAAAAGTAAAGTTTCTAAAGTAATTTCTTCCCTATTAAATTATTTTACAACTTTCATAAACAACTTTATATGTTAATTAAAAACGTTTTCTTTACAACTTTCATGCCAGCATGAAGTATCGACATCAACTATACGGAGAAAACAGAAAAGAGTTTTCCTTATTTGAGACCTTGAATATTGCATTAATCATTTAAACATTTCTTTTGCCTTGCTTTTATGTGTGTGCAAGGACTAAATTTAAAAAAAAAAAAAAAAAAAAAAAAAGGAAAATAATCAGTGATTAATTTTAAACTGCCGCTTTCACTGACTAATTACTGTATTTTATAATTAAAACGGATAAAAATAGCAAACTTTGAATACATTCTCATTGCAACTTTAAACACTTTTTACTTTCCCGGATGTTATATATAACATAGGAAAAGTGTGGAGATCGGTCAAAATATGACCTCACCCCAAAATAATTTTCGTATTTTTGTACACGAAACGTGGAGAAATGAGAAAAAATTGGAGGTTTTTCCCCCTAAGTATGGATGTTAGTGTGTGTGATAGCACAATCTTGTTTACTCACTTTGAACCTTAATAACTCTTGTGCCTTATGTCGAAATCTTCTGAAATTTTGCAGGGTGGTTTGTATATTAGGGGGATTGATGCCACTAAAATTTGGTGGTTAAAGATCAATGGAGTGGCTGATAGAAGGGGGATAACGTGTCGTATCTCGAGTGGGATCGGACGTAATGAAGATCTTACTCATTATTAGCATTTAAAATTTTTGTATAAAACTCATCTCTACCCCAAAATTAAGCTTGTTAGTTACACAACTCGTTGCTGGATTTTTACTTAATAGTAATATTGTTAAAATTAGATTGTTTATTTGCCTATTATTTGGATTTTCACAATATACAGTCATACACAAGTATAATAGGCATATATGTATTACATAAATGTACACCTGTATACACATGTATAATACATTTACAACAACGGGATAATATGTGTTTAAACGAGGCTACTATTAAATATTAATAAATAAATGAATAAAGTAGTGAAGACATCATAAATTAACTTTACATACATTTAGTTCAATAAATACACTTATCTATTGAACTAAATACATGCAAAAGTTAATTTATAAGGTCTTCGCTTCTTTAATATTTATAAATAATTTATATAAAGACAATATTTAAATATATAAAAGCCAAATATGCATATGTTAGGTGAAGTTACTAGAGAGGTTACAGCCGAAGTTTTCATCTGTAAAACGTGAACGTCGAACGTCGAGCGCCGCTATCTTGTAAGTGGCTCTCGACGTTCGACGTTCACGTTTGAGAGATGAAAACTTCGGCCGCAACCTCGCTATTAATAAGGCTGATTATTCTTTTACAAAAATTAATTGCGAATTATTTCACAATTTCTAATTAACTCTGAAGTATAGAAGAAAAGAATAATTTATGAATTTTCATATTGTTTAGATATTTTTAGATTATTCTTACGATATTCTATAAAAACTATACATATTTTAAGCTGAAATATTAGCGAAAATAAATTAATATTAAAGTATTATCTGCTTAATATTATGAGAGATTTAGGAATTGTTTCGAGTAATTCTTAATTAATTAATTAAGATTAAAAAGCATAAATCTATGAGAATTATCACGTAGATGATGCGAATTGTAATGTTTATTATATCATTTGTGAAAATACTATTATAGAGGAGAGAAGGGGGAGAAAACTGATTAGTTTACATAAGATTGAGTATGTCGTTACGGCAAGTTTTGCAATACAGCTAATATTTTTCCTTTTTTTATAAGTTTTATTGGCTCGATAAAGGAGTTAACATGGTTCAAGTCGGGCCATAGCCTTGAAAATTTTTATGGACGTCAAGCTCCGTTCTTCACCATTCCATGGGCCTGGCTGAATTCCTGATGGGTAAAGGTCTTCTTCTCACTCAAACAACAGTAATTAGATGCTTTAATCTTGGTTTTTCATGTAATTTTGAACCTTCGAAACGTTTCAAAAGCATTTTTTTATTATTATTATTACTTTGAGAGCACAATGTTGAATGATCGCTGTATTTAGCCTAATACTAAACTTTTAAACGTACTTAAATCATTACTATTGTTGGGCTGCAATTTGAAAAAAAAATTTCAATTGTAAAATTATGTATGTTAACTACTTAATGGGCTACAAAAAAATAACTCCAAGAAAACGTAAATCATTACTCTTATTTGAGGTAAAATAACTTGAGGCAATGGCGCGTTGTAGCTTCATGGAGCCAGGGCGAATTTGAATTAGAGCGCCCCGTGTACAGTGTTGACTTCAGACATTTTTCTTCGGGAGAAATATGTTCTTATAAAAGATTAATTTTGTGGTTCCCTGTTGGTGGGGCCTTAGAAAATTGCTCTAGGATAACGCGCCACTGCCCGTAGAGTAATTTTTATCGACAAGTTTCTCGTGTTACTGATTACAATCCTCCTAACGTTTACGTCGTGCCCCCAAGGAAAGGCCCTATCTCCTCTCACGTGAATAAATAACAGTGTAAAACAAATGCAGGACCTGTCTAACCTAAGCTGTAACATCCTGAAGGCCCTTTTCTCTCCATAAAATAATAATATAAAACTCTGGTTTGGCTTCCTGAAAATTCACCCCTGAATCAATAATATTTAAAAAGAAAAAGATCAATATTTTCATTCAGTTGCAAGTTTGCTTAATAATTCATTTAGCACAGATTGAAAATGAATTACTAAACTAATTTTTTTTTTTGCGGGGTTAAGCACGTGTTTTCCATATAGGAGAACAATCGAGCAGCCTATTTATTAAATTACAATGGATCTACTCTAATAACTTTACATAATAATTACGAATGGATTTGATAGTATCATTATTATTTAATACCCTTCATTAAATTAAATTTTTAAATCTAATTTTAATAAATATTTAATTATGTTTCACTCGAAACCTGTTTTCAACTTTAGAGTAATTTCCCCTCTTAGTTTAAAGGTCGAAATTGTTATATTGATGTGTGAATGGAGTTATTTTTAAATCATAGTAACAACTTAATTTATATTAAATTACTTTATGAATTGTGTCGAGTAATAGATGTATGTTTTGTATAAATTATGTACACTTTTAAATTGACGTCACTATAACGTTTTCTCTGTATGACATCGATGTGTACACTGTATATGACGTAGTAGCGTACGTTATCTTGACACAAATGTATTTAATATCTAATTTTACATACATTTTCTTAATAATATGAGTTTTATATATGATTTTTGTACACAAAATTAATGATTTAACATGTATAATTGTGGTTAACACATATAAAATTTAGCACTGTGTTAATTAAAACATATTTTTACCTTTATAAATTACCTCTAATGTATTTATTACATGCAATTTTATAGTGTTAATTCATTTTTAAAAGGTTTTAAACAATAATTTCTGAATAAATAAGTAACATTTAACATCAATTCATTTATGTTTTATCACAATGAAATTTAATAATTTAAAAAAAAAAAAGAAAAGAAAATTAAATTATGTAAAATTTATTTTAATATTGTGTAACCTCCAAACTATTGAGGGCCAGATAAGTCCAAAACATGTTATGAAAATGAAGGTTACATAGGCTACTTCAAGTGTTTTCATGTATCAGAATATTATTGTGTGTAGACTTATCTTCCTATAAATAAATACACAATTTTGTTTATATTATTTCTAAAATAAATTAAATTTTAAAACAATTAAGTAATATCTCCAGCATGTTTTATTTGAATTTCATATCTACACACACAGAAAAGCTAAGTTAATACAGTATATGTATTTGACCTCAATGAAACCTGTGGCCTTGAAAAAATTCACCGGGACAACTTTTTACATTAGACATAAAATTTAACATGATTTTTAATTATTAATTACTTTTAAATGTAATTCTATGTTAAAAGACTCGATCATTTTCTGTATATTTTTGGTGTAATGTATGCAATATGTACTATATTATTATATACTTCTATGAAAATATACTATCTAGGCAATAAAAATCACATAAATTTCTTATAAAAATCATACCAGTTATGTTTTTTTATGGCCTTTTTTAGGGCTCTAGCTCTAATCATAATATAGAAGTACAATATAATATACAGTAAAACCTGTATAAAACGGAAACCTGCTTAAACGGGAAAAAATTCTTAATAAAATAGTAATTTTTTGCTTAAGAAAACTAACCTGTGATAACCGGAATCGAATGTTTTTTCCGTTTTAAACAGGTTTCCGTTTTAAACAGGTTATTCTTTAACATAGGAAAAATTCGCTTCGTTCTTAAGAATACTTCCGTTTTAGACAAGTTTCCTTTTTATTCACGTTCCGCTTTAGACAGGTTTTAACATATATTAGGCGCATCTGAGAACAAATTGGAAGTTTATAAATCATTTAAAATAAAATAAATAATAAACTGTTAATGTCCCCATTAACAGTTTCATCAAATATGTTACGGAAAAACCAACGAAAAAATGTTTAGAAAGAAATCGAATTATGAAAGAGAGGAAAGGAAAGTTTCATAAAAAAAAAAAAAAATTTCAACCTTGAGACTACTTATTTATCTAAGACACGCTAAGACAAGGAGTTTGCATTCCGCTTCTGTCACTCGCATTGTTAAAACATGAAAGAGTTAACGTGTGTAACTCTACTGATCCTATTTATTCTCCCTATTCACTCTTCTAACGTTACAGATAATGCTAATAATGTAACCGATAATACTTCTAAAGTGACTGATGAAGTAACTAGTGCGAAAGACGATAAATTGGATACACCTAAAGGTGATGAGACGTGGATATCTGTCCAGAAACTCTTAAAACAAGCCGTGGATGAAGTGATAAAAAGGGCCCTTCCTACAGTTATGAGCGGACAGAATCAAGTTAACATTTCTGGAGGATGTATGGGCAGTTTAATGCAATTTATTTTCGACCTGAGACAGATGAAATTATGGGCTTTACAGAGTAAGTTTTTTTCCTTATTCTAATTATATAAGAATAAAATAGTAAATTCTTTAAAAATTTATCCTCAATACGAATATATAAGACTTAAATACTGATAAAACTCCTTGTTTTCTGTGTTTTCTTGCTTAATTCTTTAACCCCTTTCTAGTTTACGTTATGTAATTACGTTGCCGAAACACTTAACCTTCGAACTACTTTAAAAATCATTTTATGGTGTAATTTTATTAAGAATTTCTTTCCAATCCTTGATCCATTATTTCTAATATTATGTAATATTTATTACATAAATAAACAATTAAATAAATAAATAATTTAAGTGATTAGGGATGTATTAAATAGTTAAATATCGGGTCAAATTTCTAGTTAACAACTTCATTTTTCTATACGATATAATCGTTAATTTCAATATATATATATATAATTTTATAGGTCATCCATTTTTTCAAGAACTTATAATACATACAAATAACCTCCGAAGAACGGCCACTCAGCATGTTTCAGTCAGTGGCCGTTGTTCAGAAGTTGACTGTACTTTCACAGAATATCATAATATTATATTCTGTTCTTTAATTAATAAACCAGAACCTTTATTAAACCCAATAAATAAAGGTGATTAAGTCTTCAGTCTGGGGCTCGAGAGACGACCTCGTGTTCCCTATATATCGAACCCCCATCCCTCATCGCTAGGCCCTTCGAACCCATTACGGACGTGATTAAAAAGGCCTTCTTTAGCGGAAGAATAAAAAAAATAACCGGATAAATCAAAAATTCTATTATTATACAGGTTAAATCACATATCTACATTTATTCGTGATTTTATTGTTTATAAAAATAATATGGGTTAACTCATCGATGCATCAAATACTGCTATTTTTGAATTAACATTCGAATTTATATAATTTAATATCTATTATTATTCTTTACTCTTCGACCTTTAAAATTTTGTGATCGATTTCCTTTACATCGCTCAACTCCGGAACCGATTCACACGTAAGCTAAACAAGTTGCAGCATAGGATCTCGAGTTTTTAAACTGGGCGAAAGGCCTTTTATATGTTACTACAGAACAATGTTTCAAGTCAGATTTGTACAGTAGGATCTAATTTTACATGTTTTAGCGAATGGCGGATGGTTAAAACACTGTAAAAACCCGTTTTAAACATATTTTAGTGTTTTCCTGTTAATCGTAAATGGTTGCTTTTAAGTACTTACGGTAGAACTTTCGTTTGTGTTCCACTTATTATTGCAAACAAGTGATCATTTCTTATAGAAATTAATAGATATTCACTCGATTAAACGAATAAATAACATGATTACTCAAATAATTAAATATGTATACGACAGTATTCATCTTAATAATATATATATATATATATATAAATCGCCTAACCGAATTCTCTTAATGCTTGTAACCGTAGCATTTCTGTGCTCTAGTTATTGTATAAAATATAATTTACTGCAAAATTGAAAATATATTAGAAATCCATTATATTTGATTTTAGCTTTGTTATGCTAAGTGTAATTTGTTAATTAAAATATTAAAGTTTTGTTTTATTTGTATATGATAACGCGACACGTGAGTGATTTGCCGAAGGGGAGGACTTTCTATAACGAGAAATTGGCCCTGTTTACGTGAAGAAAACCCTGAAAACTCCGATCTATTGGCGAGGCACGAACCTACGACCAGTTTTTAGTGATTTTACCCACTCGTGAGCAATTGTTCGTATTGAAATACAGTATTAATTATAGTCAAAGAGAATGGACATTCTCTACATATTTATCTGACAGAAGATTTGAGCCAGTATTTGGATCAAATTTCTTGATAATAATGAAGGCTAACAATTGAAATAATATTAAAATTACTCTGTCTATCACACAGTGTAATAATAATATATGATTAGTGTGTATTTAAGTGATTAATACACAAAAATGATTAACGCTTTGGCTGTCCTTATTTAATTTATTAACACGATAAAAATGCTAATCATATTTAATAAATTTGACAATATAAATTAACTATATATGTTAATAATTTATATTGGCAATCTTACACAAATTGTATTGACGTGATCGGTGTACTAATTGCCGTTTAAAAATGGGCAAGGAGGGATGAAACCTTTATTCGAGTCGACAGTAAATAATTCAATATTACAGGCTTCCTACTCAGTTTTAAACTGGTATTAGGACAATTGATTATTATGATCACGTCAGTACAAATTGTATTTGTGGCTACTTTTCGAAATACAAGTGACATTTATTAAAATTTAGTTACCGAGAAACCAAGATTATCTGCAATAAATATATATGTGAGACGTCATAAACGTTAACCACTGAATTTTCCTCCTAGTAAAATTATTTTTCAAATTATCATTGAATTTTTCCGGTTAGTCAGTTGTTTTTTTACCTTATGAATGTGTATACACATATATCATATGTAAATTAAAATAAAGAAGGAACTAACCAACACTATACAATATTAATTTCTTATTTATATTTCTTGCTTTGTACTCATTTAATTGACTAAAATACAAACTTCAAATGATTCTATCTAATAAAAATATCAATTTAAAATAATATATATATGTACTGAAATATATTTAAAGCAAAATTAGAGAGAGAAAGGTTGTTTGTATGAAAGAAACACGGGAAACTCCACGTGGTCAACCCTTTGAATAAGCTAAACCCGCGACCAGTATTCAGTGATTTAACCACTCGTCCACCGAATGATTCAAGGACTTTAAAAGGAAATCCGTGACTAATCCTTTTAATAAATTAATTTTATTTTAAAATTTCTAAGAAATTTAATTAGAAGGGGAAAAAATCAAACTTTTTACTTGATATTGAAGTAGAGCTGCAATTTTTCTTAGTAGCATTGTATAGAAATTCAATGCCGAAATCTAAAGAAAATTATTAAATAGAAAGGTGAAAGGTCAATCTTTGTTCATATTTACTTAATAAAAATATTTAAAAATATACGTGTCAAATCATGACATTTCCATTACATTTTAGAAATAAACAGCAATCCTTTTTTTTATTGTCACATTGCTTAGTTTTATGTAAATTAGCCAATCTAAAGAAACATTTTAAAAAGAACTAAGTCTAGTTTCCTCTCACAAATAGTTTTAAAACATATTTTAGCACATAATAAGTTTGCTTATAAATTTAAGGTAAGAGGGGGCGCGAAATATACGATAGGGAAGGCCCAACAGTGCCGTTCCCTGAACACTGGGAGTTCGGTCGTGGGTTCGAGCCTCGCCAGGACGGTGGAGTTTTCCAGGTTTTCTCCACGTCTGTAACACCTGAATAGGGGTCAAAAGGTTCTACCAATCCCTCTGAATCTGTATACCAAAGGTATACAGATTTAGGAGGGGAGTACAGAAGTACAGGAGGGATCAAAAGTGCTCAAAGTCTATACACGTTATTAATGGCCCTTAAATGTCGAACTGTTAACATCATATACAAGTAAATAAACTAATAATAATATTTTAATTATAATAATTTATTCATGTTTTGAGAATGGCAATATATTATGTAAACATATTTTAAAATTATTATCAGTAAACTATAATAAATATATTGCTATTAATTACAATATAATATATATTGTGTTTAAATACTTAATAAATACACGCGTCAAGATTTCCTTATTACCAACGCCAACTGAATGAATACTTTTTAATAGGTGGAAAAGTTTTACTCCCTTTCTATAAAAAAAAATTTAACTTAAAATATATAAATTTAAGTAATAAATGGAGTTTTTTTCTACGTTTTAGTAGGGTAAATTTTAATCTACCATCTCTTTCTCACATTCATACAACACAACACGTATCTGTAACAAGAGAAAAGTTAATTGTGTATAACTAAAGAATAACACCAGCTATTCAATTTATATTCTGGCTTGATTAACACTAATTACAGAGGTTGCGGCCGACGTTTTCATCGCGAAAACGTGTACGTCGGACGTTCAGCGCCGCCTTCCTGTAAGCCTAGAAGTTTGACAATGGCGTTTGGAACGTCAATGGAATCATGCTCGACGTTTCAAACGCCATTTCAAACTTCTAGGCTTACAGGAAGGCGGCGCTGAACGTTCAACGTTCACGTTTTCGCGTTGAAAACGTAGGCTGCAACCTTTATATTTAATCAGTGTAGTCTCACGTGTAATATGTCAAGTTTCAGTGTTAAGGCCGGTTAGTCGCGAACACCCACACACACACTCGGTTTCGGTTCCTATAATAGATGTTATTCTCACAATACAAAATTTTTTCTTTTATTACTTAATTACTTTTAAATGACATAATTTCAAAAATTCTTTTGTAGTTCAGCATTATAGAATTTAGTAACGTTTACTCTTTACTAGGTCAACTTTTTAGGTTACTATCAATATAAAAATTTGCAACATAAAGTAATGATACATAAATATTCGTCCGGATTACACCATATTAAAAATTATTATTATTACTGTATTTTTATTTTTATTTCAGTTTAAAAGTAAGTTTCTGCAATACAAAATCCAGCAACATGCCTACTCCTAGATTTATTACTGTCCATTCTGTGGATACTGAGAGGGCATGTTTAATCATTGGCATTTTAATCAAGAGAGCATTGGCCGAGGCCCACAATGCCCTCTTGCCCAAAAATGCCGAGTGATTCGAGACATAAAAATGGCGTCAAACTAACGCATAGGTATAAAATTATGCGTCATTTTTATATTTTTCACTATAAAGTCATTAAAATTACGTCAGAATGACGTTGAACGTAAACGATTCTGAGAAAAACAATGCATTTTTGATATACTATATAATGTATTATTTCTTTACTAGTGCTGCCATCTCTTGATCAAATTATCGTAAATATATCTAAAAACACTCTTTAATTTTTTTTTAGTGGTAGATGCTATCGGAAAACCTAATTCTGGTATATTAAAAGGTTCGTTAACTTTTCTTGGATCTTACGAACAATGTTTGGATATAGAACTTCACAAATCACGTAAAAAGTTTAAAGGTCAATATTGTACTGTGGATTTTCAACCCATTTTACCGCCAAAGCCTAAATATATACCATTGTGGGATCATAGTCTTTTGGAAAATGAACCCGAATCAAGAACAATACTGGTAAGTAACATTAAATAGAAATTATTTTATTTTAAAATAATAAATTAAACAATATACAGTATATTTCGTTATCTAAATTCTCGCTAGATGGCAGTAACAGTTATGTTAATTATATTTTATAATTATTACTTTAAAATGAATAACAGCTGATTAATATTAAATTTATTAATTTTTATTAAGAAATATTTATTTTAATTATTTTTTCTTTAATTATAATTATAAAAATTTATTTTGTAATATTCATAATGAAAACCTATCGCTCTGGAGGATCCGGGATCGAATTTGGGCAAGCAACCTCAGGAGTTTTACGGGGATGGTCTATCCCAGTTATGTTGGGCCCTGTCTCTCACTGTCAGGCTGTCCCCTTTGTGGGCCTGGTCCTGCAACCCAAGACTGGCATGATTAAATGATCTTCTTAGGACCCTTAAGACACAAAGAGGGGAAATTTATGGGTTTGCATGATACTGTAGCATCTCCTGGTAGTTCAAAGCAATCAATTTTGTACTTACAATATAAAAACACATATAACAGCACACACATCGCTTTTAGTGTCTCTTTTTTGGGGTGTATAGAAAGTTTTCCTGGAGGCAACTCCTTTATAGATTACTCCTATTAAAAACCTTTTGAGATCATACCAAGTATAAATAAATATTGTATAATACAAATATAAATACAGTAATATATACGTAGACGGCTTTGCAGCTTAAAAACTGCATACTAACATTAATCATACACCGCTCAGAGGGATCCTTCTTTCTGTCTCCTCACCCTCCTTCTTTCGCCGGCTAAACACTGTGTATGGCTGTTGTATTTCGTTAAAATATATAAATATATACGTACAATAACATATACATAAACACACTACACACAACACACATAATAGCATCCATATTCAGAAAATATAAGCTACACTCCTATCAAAATATGCTTAATAAAAAAAGTTCTGTTATGCTATTTTTATGCTATTTATGCTAAAAATATCTTCTAGAGTTGAGTCAAATCCATTTTCCTACTATCAAATTTAATTTAACAAATAAATATACAGTGGTGCCTCGTATAACGTACGCCTCGAATAACGGACGCTGCGAATAACGGACTTTCTGTTTGACCGTTACGTGACTCGAGCAACGGACTTGCTGCGAACAACGGACTTTCCGTTCGGCAGTTACGTGAGACGAACAATGGACTTTCTTCGAACAAGTGCGAATGATGTTTCCACTCTTTTGCCGTTGCCAATGACAATCTGCTATTTTTAGGATATATTAGTATTATTAGAATGTATTATTAGTATATCTGAAGTAGAAATGTAATGTAATATATGTTGATGATTTAAATAAACATTAAATGTAATGTAATATATGTTGACGATTCAAATAAACGAAATGTAATTGTGTAGATGCCGAGGTGGCGGGACGAAAAGAGGTTGTAAAAAACAAACGGAGCGAGAGTAGCTCGTAGAAGTGTTTAGTGATCTTAATTAATAAAGAATTATTCGTATCATATAATCTGGCAAGTTAAGTCATTTATAATGCATCATGGCTTTCAAAAAAAACAGAAAGGTGATTTCAATTGAAACAAAGCAAGAAATCATCAGGAGTGAAAGTTGACAAAAACTTTCTTGTCGAATGGGGAGAGGTTCAGGAGTTTACCAACACTCATTATCCAAACAGAGCTGAGGCCAACAGGATCAATGATCTCTACGATGACACCTTTGTCCGTCATTTCCGACAGGTGTTAAAGAAGAAAGAGAAACAGACCACCTTGGTCATGTTTTTCAAGAAGCCAGCGGGCAAAAAACAAAGGATGGAACAAGAGAAGTTGACCCTGCAAGTTCCGGTAGCCTCTCCTGAATCTGACTCCGATTAAAAAACAATAAAAAAAGACCCGCTGCAATGTGTAAAAAGTCTGTATCTGTATGAATGTGTAAAGAAAGTGTTCTTCCACCTCCTCCTCACAACATCTGACTACCCGGCATAATTGGTGTCTGCTCCATTTTCATTTTTTATGGTACAGTACGGTTATTTTATGCTGCGGAACGAATTATATGTTTTAACATGTATTTCTATGGGATAATGCGTTTCGTATAACGGACGTTTCACTTAACGGACGTGCACCTGGAACGGATTAAGTACGTTGTACGAGGCACCACTGTATGGATAACCCAATTAATTTTCAACTCAAATATCCATGGGATTTGGTGGTGCGTAGGACTCAGGTGCACCCCTGAGAGTTTTAATGCCTTAAATAACTCGTAACACGGTTTTAAAATGCTTTCAGCAAAGAACTGTTATGTAACACCTCTTAATAGACTCTTAACACTATAATGAATAAGTACACCATCGAGTATTATTGATGTGTTGAGTCATACTTCATCAAGTGTTTCTCTTGTAACTCCTTAAAGAGTTCATTAGACTTGATGTTATTTAATACTAACAAATTTTGCCATTTATTAACTGTTAAGGAATAAAATTTAAATGTTCAGCGATCATCTTTAACACCTTAGTTAGGAGCTAGTTTTCCACGTTCTTTACGTGTCTAGCACCTTAATTAATAAGGGTCAGTTTCTCATAGAATAGCCTCCCTCTTGTGTTTTGCTTATCCTGTCAATCTACAATTCACAGTCCACAATAGAATAATGGCTTATAATAGATTACACGAGAATTACTATAACTTATAGTAATTCTCGTTGCGGCCAAAGTTTTCATCTCTCAAATGTGAACGTCGAACGTCGAGAGCCGCTTACAAGATAACGGCGCTCGACGTTCGACGTTCACGTTTTAAAGATGAAAACTTTGGCCGCAACCTCTCTAGTAACTATTGAAAGTTTACATTTAAATTTATTATTATTTCCTTTTGTTTCCAGCTGTCAGAAAGATTGTCGACTTTAAATCAATATTTTTACATCTTCGAAGGAAAATTTGGTTTGTGTTTTCCGTCCTCGTGTAACAGGAACGAAGTTGAACAAATTGTAAATACGGGTAATTGCTTTAAATTATTAAAATTTAATTTTAAATAATCTAATTAGAATTAAAGCACAAATCTATTTATAGTATTGAAGTCAATTAACTTGAAGAGTCGAGTCCATAGATGCGAAGTTAAAGAGAAATTCCAGATTACGAAAGAGCAGATAACCGTTATGTAAGATCTTTTTAAGGCCCCTTTTAAAAATTATATATGATTTTTGGCCTAACAGATTAATTTATAGATGTGTTCTGGGCTTATTTCTACTTTTGGTAACGCTGGGAACAGTTTTAGACTACTGCTTCGATCATCGAATTCAACAGTCATTTAAAGAAAATAAAGGTAAATATATTATTGATTTTAAAATATATGCTCTCCACCTTAAATTAGTAGTGGCTTGCCCCTGTATATAATACTTTTCCTGTTAGCAATAGAGTCGTGTCTTCATCTAACTCTTTACAAGGGGATTTTCTTTTTAAATTGAAAATTGCAGCCCTACAGATTCAAAAAAGTAAAGTCGATATACCTTTCTGTGTTGTAATTTAATAAAAGATCCTTCTGGCATGGAATAAAAGTAGAGCAAAGCATTGTCGAAATAAGTCTCCGAGTGGCTACTAAAAATCCCAGGAACACCTTGATGATAGAGGACTGAAGATACATATTGGGCAGTGGCGTGCCGTCATTGGAAGCGGTGGATGCGCCGCTTCCCTTGTATTTTCTAAAAAATAAATACATATTAACTTTAATTATATAAAAATAATCGCACAATATTTTATTATAACCGCATTATGTATCTTATTACAAATTTCTATACTACACGTGAAAAAAACGATAAGATCGCTATTGTATATTCGAATATTAGTAGCGGAGTGGAAGCGCTGTATTGTCAGCATCCAAAAAGCCAGATTCGCGCACGCGCTTTACACAGCACCAACCTCACCCAGTTTAGCCGGTGGAAGCCTAGGACCTAGGGAGATGCTACACGTATACCGCATCCAATTCTATCCAGGACCGGTTCCTGGATAGAAATTTGGCCGCCCTCGCCCGATTACGTGAATCGCGAATAGATTTATAACTTAACCCAACCGATAAGAATTACTGGTATGTTTTTACGATAGTTCTGTATAGTTGACAGGAGTTTAAAAAATCCATTAAAATATTTGATATTTTTATTCCGCTCTCCGATTTTATATTACTTACGGATTTCAATGTTAAACCAGTGATATCACGATTTCGTACGTCCCATCTTTAAGGGGATGTAGAAAAAAACGTGTACAATTCTTGTGTAATGTTAAAAAATTAATCGTTACTTCGACAGCATCATTTACAACTAACTTTAATGAATGAGAGAGATGCACCAGGTACAGAAAAAGCTCTAGAATTTATTTTCCTTAAATTTACGATTTATGTTTCCGTTGTCGTAAAAATTTGTCTTTCCACTTTTTCCCGAGACTACAAATATTCGAGTACAAAGTAACCGGTTTCGACTTATTTCTACTTAAGAAGTAGTTAAATAATTAAGCGATTAGGGAATTGGGGATATAAACAAAACCCTGATGAAAGAGCCGAAATTTTACTTAAACAAAAGCTTAACGGAACCATCTCTATCCGAGTACAGTGGGGACTGATTTCTTCGTATTATTAATGTAATAAAGACAAAAATTTTTGCAGTTCAATGAGAGTGACCGAAAAGTTGTAAATTTTGGAAACTTCTGAGGACACTTAGTCCTAACACGAATTAGTTAGAAAACAAATGACTTTTAAGTTAAACATATTTAGATTTTTATAGCTACGGTGAGAAACGTTTAAAATCTACAACAACCTTGTCGTGTCCTTTGAGATATACTAGTGATGCGACAAAAGAGGTATTTGACATTAACAGGCACCCTCGGGGTTTGGCATGCATGCACGCACTGCACTCCTACCAGGTATGGATATCCACCACATATTTTATTTCACCGAGTAAGTTTTTGTAATTTTATTTTTAATTTTAGTCCTTATATTATAGCTAGCGATTTAGAATGTAATTGCGTTATTGAAAATTTATTTTAAAAAAGTTTTGGCTCGAGATCATATAATGAAAAAGAAAACATTATTAAAAGAGAAAGGCCAATGCCCAAGTTAAATATAAACACTTCAATAAAAAATTTGTTCGACATTTTCGCGATAAAATGGCTCTGTAAATGCATAAAAATGCAAAAATTGTTTTGTTGGCT